AAACTTGGGGCCTGGTTTAGACAAGTTAGATGCACGAGCTACTAAGTGTATCTTCCTTGGCTACTCAATGACTCAGAAAGGGTATAAGTGCTATAACCCTAACTTCCATAAGTCATTTGTGTGTTCCGATGTCACCTTCTTTGAATCAGTTCCTTTTTTCTCGGATACTGTGGTTTCTTCTCCTTCCTCCGTAGTTTCTCTTCTTGTCCCTGTTGCGGATCCCCTTCCCGTGGTTCCCATTCCAGTTGTAGATTCACCTCCCATGYTGGTTACTATTGAGAGGCCACCAATCAAACATGTGTATACTCACAAAAGAGCACCGGCCCCTCCTCCAATTCAGCCCTCGTCGACAGATCCTGTCATTGCTTCTTCCTCAGAACTTGATCTTCCTATTGCGGAAAGGTAAGTACACTTGTACTTCTCATCCTATTTCACACTATGTTTCGGTTGCTCACCTTTCTGCTTCTCATTGCAAATTTATATCATTGTTATCATTTGTTTCCATTCCCAAGATTGTCCAGGAAGCCCTTACCTCCCCAGGGTGGCGGCAAGCCATGGAAGAGGAACTCTCTGCTCTACAACACAATCACACGTGGGAACTTACTGCTCTTCCTCCTGGCAAGCATGCTATTGAGTGTAAGTGGGTCTACACAGTGAAGTATCTTCCAGATGGTAGTGTGGAGCGATTGAAGGCCAGGTTAGTGGCCAAGGGCTATTCTCAGCTGTATGGTGTGGACTATATGGAGACATTTTCTCCTGTGGCTAAAATTGGTTCAGTTCGGGTGTTGATTTTACTAGCTACTATGTATGATTGGCCTCTTGTGCAACTGGACATCAAAAACGCTTTCCTACATGGTGATCTCATTGAGGAAGTGTATATGGAGCAACCGCCAGGGTTTGTTGCTCAAGGGGAGGTTGGTAAGGTTTGTAGACTCAAAAAGGCAATTTATGGACTGAAACAATCTCCACGCGCATGATTTGGGAAGTTCAATGAAGTAGTGAAAGAATTTGGGATGAAATAGTGTCAGGTAGACCATTCTGTGTTCAGCCATGACTCAAAAGTGCAAAGAGACTGGGCCGAATGGGCCCTAACATACTCTCTTGTAATATCTTTTATTTTATTCTTAATGGGCCTGTTATTTATTTTTTTGCTTTATTTTCTTTATGTAACTGCCAAGCTGGCCGCCCACTTAAGGGCATTCTTGTCATCATCAAATTTTTAGATCTTAATAAAATAGGGTTAGAGGAGAATGGAGAATATTAGACTCCTTCTCTTACCTCTTATTTTCGCCATCTTCTTTTGTACAGCTATTCAAACCTGTTTTCT